CCGAATTCGAGCAAAAATTTTTGTTTTTGGGAAAATGTTTCCCGAAAATAAACGTCAATGTCCCCGGGGGTAGGGCCCACACTGAAAATAAAAACAATCTAGTGTTTCCGGGGTTTTACATGTTTCAAAAGTGTCATCCCTTTTTTTTCCTTTATTAAAAATGAAAATTTTACATGATTGTTATCCTTCCTTTTTTACTGAATTTGTAAAATTTTTTTTTTTGGGGTAAATTCCGTTTTGTTCGGGCAAAAGTTTTTTTTTTCAAAAAAGGTCTGCCCAAAGAAAAATTTTAAAAGGGCCAAAAATTAAATATTCAAACAAACCCTCACATTGTTTTTTATAAATAAACCCCATTTAGGGGAACAATTTACAGTTCAAATGTTTTTAAAGACTTTTTAAAAAAAAAATAAATGTTTAACAATTTAAAGAATTTACCTTGAAAGGGGCTTATTTTCAGAAGACCAAAAACTTTCCCTTTTTGAAAAGGGTTTTAATTCCCACATTTTCTTGCAAAACCCTTTTTTAAAAGTCTTTTTTTAGGGGCCTACAAAACCCTGTTTTTGGGTTTCTTCAAAATTTAGCCCATTCAAGGTAAATTTTCTTATTGTGTTACCGGGCTTTGTCATTTATATTTTTGTTTAAAATAGCCTTTAAAACATAACTTATAACTTTTTTATTTATGGACCAAATTTAACGAAATTTTGCGTGTAAATTCATTTTATTATTATAAAACATCGTATCAAGAAAAAATAATAAAAAATAATTACTTTATAAAATATAAGTCATATCCGGTATTTAAAGTCATATCCGCGGATATGACTCATATCCGGTATTAAGACATACCGCTAAAAATATTATGTTCCTGCAACGATTTGACGACGATTTCGCCACTGATAAATGCAAAACAAGCAAAGTTATTCATAAGTTAGGTAAAAGGGAGACAAGTAAAATGGTTTCCTGCGGTGAACATTTTAATGATATAAAGATATTTCATTTAACTATTTTCAACATTATTGGGGGGGGGGGGTAAATAAACGTTTGTATCAGCAATATAGTTGACAATTTAATAAACGATCAATATAGAAGAAGGTCTTTGGAAACTGGTGACCGTTGAAGACCGGCCGGAGAAGGTCGAACATAAAACAATTATTTCTTTTTAAGAATATGATTAAATAGGCCACGGATTTATATTACATCCGTGAATAGGCCTACCATTTTATGAATAATTCCGAGCAAAAAATAAAAAGAGTAAACACACAAGTTTACGCAGAAAATATCTCTATTTATTATGGCAGATGCCACTACGAATATTTTTATTTTGTAGATTTTCAGTGTAAACAGAGACATATAAATACATGTATTTTAACGTCTCTGGTATAAACAATTTATTGTTTGTAAAATTTGAAATAGATATTAAAGAAACATTGATAATTTTCAAACACATCATTCAAGTTTTTCCACCTTAAACGGGGAAAATTAGAAGTATCACGTTATAGTTTTTTGTTCTTAATTAGTTGTAATTCGGATTTCCCTACAGGTAAATACGTAACGTACCGGCAAACGGTATTTAGCTAGGTTTTTGAACAGGTCAATTAACCAATCATGTCCGGTTTACAGATCACATGCTCCTCCATGTACAGAAAACAGGTCACGTGCTCCTCCATGCCTCAGGTCAGGGTAACGTATTGTTACATGGCCAGCGATTGGCTAAAAAAAGTGCAGGGAAAACCGTAAGATTCAATGGGACATTAGGTGATTGGACGAGAAGGTATTGTGTATAAGTATAAAAACTATTCTCGAAACTAACAGTACATTGTTTTCTGAAAAAAATGAAGTATTTTGTAAGTCTGTAGGACAATTTTTTACTCTGATATTTACATTTTAAAAAAGTATATGTCAGTCCTGTGATCAGCAGTGAATTACAGTGTAAAGGGGGGGTAATCCTCTTTGAAGTCATTTTACGAAAAATTTGGTCGGCTACCCCTATATAACGAGATGAGTTTTATGTGTCAGGCATGTCATTCTCCCAGAAAAATGACATCTCTATGATGAAAACTCAATTTTAAGGTCTGTTTTTAGGTCATTTCTTATAATGTAAGCCTATGGAAAATTAATACGAGTATCTGACCCTCAAAAGTTAAACGCGTACCAATACCCTGCGGTCTCCAGACCGCAGGGAATAAGGTTTTTGTAATATAAAACTTACAACTCGTTTAAACACGTGGAACTTCTATATTAACAGCAAAACTTCTCAATCTTTCACGGATGAACTTGTAAACAATGGCGATTGCGGGAAAATGACGCTGGGCCGAAAATAGTTCGTATTCATACGCATGCAATGTTTTTCTTAAATTTACACTTATGAAGCATTAGGCCATATAAGCTTTAAAATTAGCTGATCTGAAATCCGTATTCCACTACTTGCTAATTTTTTGAGTTCTGTGACACTTAATTAACTTGTGACTACATGTAATTTGTACTATATTTATGCAAGTACTTTGGCTATGATCGACCGCCGGCGTAGAAATATTAAAATCGCGTAAAGCAAAAATATACATACAATTTTAAAAGACGATTGCAAAATTTAGTACATAATTGGCCAGTCAATTTTAAAATAGATAGGGAACTATGATTTTGGGAGTTACTGCGAAGTTTTGGAACTATTTTGCTTAGCGTAGGTAGCTGACTAATTGTGTTCAAACCATAGTAAAGCTGAATTGTCGTTATTCCATTGGGGGCGCATTGCGCATGCGCCCCCAAAAAACCTCTCAGTTTTTTAATGACATTATACATTCAAATTTTGTCCATTGACAACACTGAATATGTATGGAAGACTGTTAAGTCCATTTCTATGAACACGGTGCTACGATCATAGTAATGCTAATAATAATTATTGCACGTGATTCAATTCAGTGCAAAATGCTGTTAAAGGCCCATCATGCTTCTGAAATGCTTTTATTTTTATTTCTTAAAAATCCTTATTTTAATTTGATGTACTGTTATAGTTTCCAAAATGTAAATCATTGGCCAATTACCAGAACCATCTTTTCATCTGTTGCTTTTTGGCAATACGTATAGTGAATTGATATTTGATATGGAGGTCATTATGCTTACATTTTGCTACTTTAATGACAAGTTATTTCACATTTACCGTTACTTTTTTCAGGTAACAAAACTCTTTCTAAACTTTCTCTAAAACCGCTACTTAATCATTATAGAATATATGTTATCCTTTCTAAAGAAGTAAACATGAATTGTTTCTGAGGCATAAAGTGTACAACACATAGGTTCAAATCTTTTAATAATTGTGTACACTGATTCATTATGTTTGTTTATTGTGATATCTTTAAGATTGTGCATACATGTATATTATACTATGAAATATCAACCTAAAAAAATCATTACGAATGTTTATTTAATTTTACCCATGAAATATGGTGCTATATCAGTCAAATATATTCCATATTTTTTAAAAATAAATATGAAATATAAATATGAAAGTGGGCGGAGTCAAAACTCATATTTATCTTAAGGGACTTCTTTCGCCGTTTTGTTTGAAAAATCTGATAAATACCAAACAATTTTTTCTTGAATTTTGTTTTGAAAACTATCTATCATGATAGAAAATGGTCTAACTAAGAAAATTAATCCGAACACCGATCTTTAATTCAGTAATTAACGCTGTACAGACGTTTAAAGAGTTGTTTACATGACGTCACAATGTAGCGCCAAACAGCGCGTGCTTACGCATAAATTACTGCGCGCTGTATGATTGCAGTTGGTAGAAAGCAAGGGGATTCGTTACCATTTTCTTTGATAATGAAATTAAATAAAAAGGTTATTTTTTTCGTTTTTCGTGAAATATGGTATATATTTTCACTCAACATGATGAAATGCTACATATTTTCACTCGCCGTACCGGCTCGTGAAAATATGTGACATTTTATCATGTTTCGTGAAAATATGTACCATATTTCACGCAAACGAAAAAATATCCTCTTAATATTCTATTTGACTGTTTCACAGTGAAATAAAAGCTAATACTTTCATTTTTACAGTAGCTGACAGCATCATCTAAAATGAACATTTAATCAGGTATTCACACGCATGTCATGATCACAAAATATTTCTACTGGTCTGCACTTTCGTTACCGTCATATTCACACATAAGAATGTAATTTTGTATTCATATGGTAAACAAAAATATACATTTTAATAAACTTATTCTCAGGGCTAAAATCTCGTACATACTTTTGACATAGTATAATCAAATGTTTATGGTCTGATAATATTGATAAATGACAATCTGTAAGAAATACTGTAAACTTATTAAGACGTAACACAAAATATTTAAACTAAGTTTACCATGGCTGAGTATTTCTTGTTTGCAAATACAATGTAAATATACATGTGTGCTATATGATGATAGCACTTTAAGGACAGCGTATTTACAACATTTACAACATGTAAAACGTTATCTCTAATCGGTGTTAACACTGATGTTTCAAGTTAGTGTTTTGATATAAACTTTTTGTAGGACATTCGAATACAATGGCTAGCACGAATATGGCTGATATAGTTGATACACCGTTTGAAGAGTTGGGAGCAGTTGGGGGGCTTCATGGCAGTAAAGAAGAGAATTCGGTTATAAACACGAATTTTAAGTGTGAACCATGTCTCTTTGAAAACATTGAAAAAGAAGCATGTACATTTTGTACGGATTGTTCCGAGCATTTATGTGCTAGTTGTGCTCGTGAACATAAAAAGAATAAACTGTCAAGGAATCATAAGTTGTTCGAAGGTGAGATTATTTCAGATAAATTTACAACAATTGCGGCAATGAAAAAAATGATGAATTGCGCTGACCATCTCGACACTGTTGTGACGTATAAATGTGAAGATCACAAAAATATGTTTGCCTCATCTGCTTAGCAGAGTGTCACCGTAAATGTAATACGGTTAACGAAATCGCAAAAGCTAATACCCCTGTAAATGAGGAGATGCATGTCCTTGTACAAGAAATATTATCTCAACTACAAGACACTGCAACAGCTTCAAAAAGAGAGTCAGAAGAGAATATAACCACTTTTAGAGATCAGCTGGCTCAAGTGCAATTACAACAGCAAAGTCTTTTCAACAGTATTTATGAAAAATTGTCACAAGCAAAAGCCAATCTTGAGTCCGAAACACTTAATCTTGTCACTAAAGAAGAAAATGATCATGAAAGGAATTTATCGAAATGTAAAGAAGCAGATGTCGAAGGAGAAGAATTTAGGAAGGTATTTGAATTTGTTATGAACTTTGGGAACTCTGCTGAGAGGAGTGTAATCCCTGGTCTGATATTGAACAGAGCAAAGGATTTATATGAAACAGTCAAAGCAGAAAGTATGACAGAAATGAAGTCACTCATTTTTGAAACAACACTTGACATTGAAACAATCGGAAATGTTGCAAACGTATCAATGGTGCCCGCGTCTGTGAATGAACAACATGGAGCAAACACTGATGTAAGTATCTCCAGCGACGAAATCCCTAGACCAGTTCATACATTAGAAGAAACAGCAGAATCATCGGCGCAAACAGGTCCATCAAAATGTAATGCCACGACGCAAACCGATGAAGTGGCTTTGCAGACTGGCAGTTTTGACATACCTGACGGCTCCAGCAGTTCTAATATTACACAAAATCTTACTGAAAATGTGAAAATCCCCAGTATGATGAAAAGAAACATAAATCAGCAGGGAGTTTCTTATAAAGTTCGATGCCCAGGAGATAAAGCACGCTGTAGTATTGATGCTTTAGAAATTCTGCCTGACAATCGATTAATTGTGGCTGATTACGCCAACAAGAAACTAAAAATCTTTAAAGAAAATTTTTCTCTAGTATTTACAAAAGGTCTTCGTGATAAGCCTTTCGGCTTGTGTCATGTTAATGACAAGACAATCGCAGTTTCTTTTTCTAAATCAATCGAAACGTATGATATTGGAACAAATAATGCTCACAGAGTAGGCCAATTTCCGACAAAAGATACGATATTTGGTGTTGATAAAGTTGGAAATGTCCAGGAAATTGCTGTTCTTTCTGCAGACAATGAAAACCCATTCCTTCAAATTAGAAATGCAAAAACTGGTCGTATACTTAAAACAGTCTGTTTTGAAAACTCATGTGGCGTCCCTTATCAGTTTGGAGAGGGGCGTGGAACTCTACGTTTGCTTTCCAGAGGCACTAATGAACTAATTGTTTCAGAATTTGACAAACTTCACTGTTTCAAAAGTACCAGCACTAGTGGTTATGCCGATAATAATGAAAACGTTGTTCAAGAATCTTGGTTCTATAAAAGCCGTGGCGGGAGCTATTTGAAATATATATCAAATTTGGCAGCAGACGACGAAGGTAATATTTATGTGTGCGGGCATGACTCTAACAATGTACATCAGATTTCAAAAGATGATTACAGAACAAACAGAATATTAATCAGCAACATCAAAATGCCATTATCGGTTGGTGTGAATAGCAAAAGAGGTTATTTGGTTATTTGTTGTAATGATGATGACTATATACATGTATATAACTTTTGTTAGATATATATTTTACAAATAGAACAATAACCATTAACTTGGGCAAACACTAGACTGTTGATGAATTTAGGACAATATACACTGTTGGTGCGATTAATTTGTAGTGTTTGAGAACAATGCATAATATGCAATATACCGGTACATATATTATGTATTTTAGTTGATTTGTGTTCTCTTTTTTATGTCTTTCAGTCAGTACACTAAGCCTGCAAATTGTGAATACATTTTGTTCAGCATTTTGAATATACAGAACAATGAAAAATTTATATTTTTCTATTGAAACGACAGCCAATAACGGCAGGGCAGCTTTTCGCGGATCGGGACCATTTATAGGCCATAAGTTTTAGTTGGTCATTGTATGAAACATTCTTTCTGCTGGAATCAGTCATAGCAAATGTTTATAGTTAAAATCACAACGCTTCACTGTCCAGCACACGATGGCTTGATCTTTTTTTTATAAAGAAAATGTCGTCAAAAAATAAAGTTATACTGTTATTATGTTGAATCATTAAATAAATGAAACTGAATGGTCCATATGTATTTATGTTCACAGCAAACTGGCTTATCAATAATTTGGCACTTTAGCACCTTTCCCTTACCGTTCTGGCAATTAACTTTACAGTGAAAACATAACACATATTAAATGTTGATAAACTCTAAGAAATCTTACAGTACTCTTAGAAATCTTAGTTATAAATTTTTGTTATGGATTTCAATGTCGCATCAACACAGTATAGGTCATATGACGACCTCCCAGCTTTACTGGTGGAGGAAGACCTCAGGTGCCCCTTAGTACATTATTTCAGGCAACACCTGAGTAGAACCAGTGTGCCGACGTTGCGTAAGCTAACTGGAGTAGAATCCTAACATGCTGAATTCAGCATGTTATTCTTTTCTGAGGGTGATTTATTTCGTCAGTATTGTTATTTATCTAAGATTCCTGGTCATTAAAATCATGTAATAACATGAAATGGTAAAGTACCTGGAGAACGTTTTTACTAACAATTCGAAAATTTTACGTAAGGGTTATCGTCACTTGACGCTTACGTTTAAACTTACGCAAATCTTAAGCGTAAATATGTTAGTAAAATGTTCCAACAGTCAACAGTCTCATGCAACATGAAAAGGCGGCATGTTTGAACTGTTGACATCGTTGATTTCTGACACCACTGACCACCACTGACAAGTTTCGAAAATATCAGTAATTGCTGTGAAAAGTTGTTTAAAATAAATTCTTGTTAATTTCTGTTAAAATCGCTAATGCAATAAACATTTTACTGTCAAACATTTCTTTCTGGAATACAATGATCTTGCATATGTTCGTGGTAGATTCTATCCAGTCAATTTACTTAGAGAACTTTTAACCTCAGTTCCATCTAAAGACCTGATTGACTACTTAAAGAAAGTAAACTTGTTAACTAACTCACAAGTACAAACTATTTTAGACCTACTTATTATAGTATTAGGCGCAGCATGACCAGTAATGTGTCGATGTTGCCGTTAAACCCAAACAAACCAATAAAAACAACGAATGGCTTAGATATGGTGTCTGTTTACAAGGGAGGTAATCGTAAAATGTGTAAAAATGTTTGAAGGAAGAGTTGTCTTTCTTCAAATACACATAAAATTCCGCGCAGAGTCACGAATAATATTAATAAACAATAAAAAAATGTAATATGTTTCTCAGAGTCACTAGATTACAAAATACATAAAAGTATAGTTGATGATTTTGGAAATTATGTCATACTGGACTTATCTGTTGGAGAAATAAGATTTACTTTAGTATCGTTATACGGACCGAACTCCGACAATCCGTCCTTTTATGAGAACATTTTCAAGGTCGTTGAGAATATAGGAAATGACTCGTATTGCATTTGTGGTGATTTCAATTTAGTGCAAAATCCTGATTTAGATTATTATAACTATAAAAATATGATAATAAAAATGCAACTCTTTTGAAACACATGGAAGAAAAAAGTCTAACTGATCCTTTTAGGGAACCTCAACCTGATGAAAAGAGATATACTTGGCGAAAGATAAACCCACTGCAACAAGCTAGAGTCGATTTCTTTCTTTCATTTTCTTTTATGTTACCATACTGTGAAAATGTTTTTTATCAAACCTAGTTTTCAGTCTGACCATTCAATTATTTTAATGCAATTAAAATTTAGTGATTTTAAGCATGGTAAAGGGCTCTGGAAACACAACGATTCTGTACTTAGAGATATTCAATATGTTAATGAAATAAATAAAAAAATGAAGACGTTAAAAAGCAATATGCCATATCTGTTTATAATTTCGAAACAATTGAAGGTGTTCCAAACGAGGATATACAATTTGTAATGAACGATCAGTTATTTTTTAGAAACTTTATGAATGGAAATATGAGGTAAATCCATATCCTACGGTTCTTATAAGAAAAAAGCAAGTAATGAAGGGAAATACAGATAAAAAAGATATTGAAATACTAGAAATTCTGAAACTATTCAAAATAATGAAAAACTCGAGCAGCTGCGTAACGAATTAAATATCATACAAGAAAATAAGTTTCAAGGTTACATTTTGAGATCAAAAGTGGACTGGGTAATTGATGGAGAGAAAACCAAGTAAATTATTTAGTAATCTTGAAAAAAGCAATTATGTTAATAAATGTATCACAAAAAATCATGAAAAAACGATGGTACTTTAAATAACAAACAAGAAGAAATCTTAAAACGAAACTGCATTTTTTTTATGAATCATTATTTACGTGTACCTCACATGGCTTAGAGGATAATATGTTTTTAAACTTTGTTAAAGATATAAACATTCCAACATTATCAAATACAGAGTCAGAATCCCTCGAGGGTAAAATCAGACTAGAAGAAGCATCAACCGTTTTAAAGAATATGAAAAATAATAAAAGTCCAGGCTCATCTGGATTTTCAGCAGAATTTTATAAATGTTTTTGGAACAGAATTGGCGTATTTGTTTGCAGGGCTCTAAACCATGCTTTTATATCCGGAAACTTATCTGTAACACAAACACAGGGTATAATAACGTGTATCCCTAAAGGTGATAAGCCAAAACAATTTTTAAAAAATTGGCGACCGATAACACTGCTTAATACAATTTATAAAATTGGTTCTGGATGCATAGCGAATAGAATAAAAATATTTTTAGACAAACTTATTAACACTGACCAAACAGGATTTATAAAGGGCAGATTTATAGGAGAAAATGTAAGACTAATTTATGATATAATGCAATATACAGAGGAGAATTACATTTATTTTTATTTTATGTGCTGAAATACTTTCGCAGAAAATTAGGTCAAATAACAATATTAAAGGAATTAAAATGAATTTGGTAGAACATAAGCTATCTCAATTCGCAGATGATACTTCAATTATTCTAGATGGTTCGGCCTCTTCTTTAAATGAAACCTTAGACACATTGTCCACTTTTACTTTTATTTCTGGTTTGAAAGTTAATTTTGACAAAACAAAAGTCGTCTGGATTGGAAAAGAAAAATTTAGTGCAAATAGTATAAAAACAAAATGGAAATTATCTTGGAATCAGCAAAATTTTGACATGCTTGGCTTTAAGTTTCATGTAGATTTGTCAAAAATGATAGATTTAAACTACAAATCTAAAATTGCAAAAGCAGAAAATATTTTTAAAATGTGGAAGAGAAGAATAATTACACCAATTGGAAGAATAATTGTCATTAAAACTCTTGTACTGTCACTCTTTAATCACTTGTTTGTTTCTTTGCCTAATCCTCCAAAATCTTATATTCAACAAATAGAAATTCTTTGATTTTATATGGCAAGGTCCGTGCAAAGTTAAAAAAGACGTTTTGATAAAAAATAAAAAAGATGGAGGTCTCGACATGATAGATTTAAATGCATTTATATCTGCATTAAAAACTACTTGGATAAGACGAATCATTACGAGCAACGGAAAATGGCTAGATATTGTTTCTAATCTAATAGATATAGATAAATTATTAAATTGTGGCTCTCATTACCCAGAAACCATAGCGAAATCCTGTAAAAACTTATTTTGGAAAGATACTTTAAATGCTTTTGTTCAATTATGTAAAAAAAATATCCCGTGTTCCGATAAAGTGTTGGAATATCCATCATTTTATAACCCAGATATATTGATTGGTAAAAAAGTATATTTTTAAAGTCATGGTTTAACGCTGGTGTCCAGTGTATAGGTGACTTGTTTAACATAAATGGGGATTTATATGAGATCCATGAATTCAATAAAATTTATAATTTGAGTGCTAATTTTTTGCATTTTCAAGGCATATGTAACGCAGTAGTTAAATATCTTAAAAGTGTTGGTTATTCTATTAGTAGTTTGCAATTTGTTTCAAGACCTTATATTCCACCAATTCTCTCTCAGATATTAAAAAATGAAAAGGGTTCACAACCTATGCATAATATATTAAAATCAAATAACAGTACAGCTGTTTGTAAACTTAAATGGGAACAAAAACTTAATACTAATTTTGAAGATAAAGAATGGAATACATTTTTTTCACTTATTTTTGAAACCACTAAAAACACGAATTTACAATGGTTTCAATACAGAATTGTACACAGAATACTTGGCACAAACGAACTTTTGTATAAGATACAATACAAAGATAATCCAAACTGCAGTTTTTGCAACAATTTTTCTGAAAGCTTGGAACACCTTTTTTTGGGACTGTGAAGTTGTTTTTGATATGATTCATGGTCTTTTTGAAAATACTCATTTACATTTGACAAGAATAGAATTTCTTTTAGGAATACAAAATGTTGATAATGAAACTAATCTTTTGCTTTTATTCGTCAAGAAGTATATATATTTTTGTAAAATGAATTTTAAAAGACCGACTATAGAGGCTGCTAAGCATTATATTAAGTACCAATACCAAATCGAGAGAGAAACACAAAAAAATATTAACACAGTAGATATTTTTGACAAACAGTGGGACAGTTTGAAATATATTTTCATTTCTTCATACCAAGATTAGTATGTGAGTGTGGACATTGTGTTATTGATTATGTGTTATTATTATTTTAAACACAATATGACTAGAAACAGTTTTTATTCATTAGACTACAGGCTACAAAACTATATATTGAAAAGTTAAGTGAGATTATAAATTAATCACAGGCTTCTATTTTTTTAATGTACCTTGTGTGTTTGTTTTGTTTGTTTATATATATGTATGTCTTTGTATGTATGTATGTCTGTATGTATGTATTTATCTGTGTTCAAAATAAACGGGGTTACCATTTAAGGGCCTCAAAAAAAAAAAAAAAAAAAAAATGTGAAACATAGAAATCTAAAATGCTTAAATGTTGTCATTTTTATTTTATAAAGTTGATTTAAAGAGGGTCTTTTTCCATACTGAATAGTTTCCAATTATCAAAGAACTAAATAGATTCAAAAGAAAACGACTGATTTTGTTTATTAATCAAAGCACAGAAGGCGCTGAATTTGTTTGGATCTCAGAATGTCAGAAAGGTGAAG